TTATGATCGACATTATGTTAATCCCTGCTAAGTTGGTTATCCCTTTAATTTTTTGATTTTCAAAACATCCATTGTGGAACCATACAGTGATCTAAATTTCTATAACATAATATTGCTCTCCATTCTTAGCATGAAAAATGGAGACACCAGATCTGCTAATGGTGACAGCGTAGACGGTACTGTGTGGGGGTATCCAGCTGTAGGGAGGGCAGGGCAGGTGGGGCGTCCAGAGATGATATTTGGCTGTGTGGGCAGGGAGGGCGAGTGCAACAGAATGCCCAGAGCCAAGCTAACTGACTGCTCATGCACCATGTGGGGAGGGGGAGTGAGCCACCTGAAAATCGAATCTGGGGAAACAGGTAGGAAAAGCCTGCAGCTGGGACACAGCATTAGAGGGGACAGAGCCTGCTGTGAGCGCAGAAGGCAGCTGCCCAGATGACAACGACGACGACTGTGGCAGTGATGGCTCCTCACCTGCTTTGGTGTGATCTAAGACCACGATTGGATGCCAGATATTTTGCGTTCTTTTATTGTCTTATTAATAAATAAAGCTTGGGGATCAGATATTAGGGTATTAGCCTGATAGATCCACAGAAGGATGGAGAAAAAGACCAGCTGCTTTTCCACCTTAGATTGAAAAAGCCTACAAATCTTTCCAAGCCCCTCCTTATGCCTCTCTGAATCTATCTTCATCTGAGTCCACCAGAAAACTCTATGGTTCATTCAGTCCACCCCCTGACTCAAGGCCCAACTCCATTGTCTGTCTCGGAGCAACAGTACAAACAAGTCTCCAACAGATGTGACCTGTTCCATATTTCCTAGGGCTCATCTTGTGTCCCACTCCTTTCTTCCAAAGAAGTGCCCAGTGCCTCCCACAACAAGTTGTCCTGACTGGATGGCAGAGGAGGATCTGGACATAGCAGTAGACACCTACCTCGCATACCACCTCACTTCCCTAAGTGAGTGCCAAAACACGTTCCGAACTTCACTTCCTTGTGCCAAAGACGTGTTCTCCAACTTCAGCTAGTTGGACTAGATTGGGTGGGGACAGAGGGCTCATAGGATTAGACATCACTCTTGAATGAAACACATTCCAGCCAGGTAAACAGGGTGTGGTAGAGGCCGACCCAGCCCAGCCTCTTTCTGAAGAGCTGTATGCTTAGGTCTGTTGTAAAAGCTTGCTATCTGCCCATCCAGGCCCTGACATTCCTATGCAGCTGAGGCCTCTAGACTGGCCCAGCACCTCTTTTCCTAGAACTTTCTCTGCTCACATGTCCTCTCTGAGTCCTGCTTGCAGTTTGTGGGTGATTCACATTCTGGCCACCCCTCCTTTGGGAGGAAGGAATAAAGAAAAGGGCTAGGAGGAACTTCCACCAGGACTGGGGGCACCCTCGCCGCGCTCTAGTTCTACCTCCTGGCCTTTTCAGTCACCAGGTTACTATTTAGGGCAAGAGGAAGCCTTGAATCTAGAAGTCTGGGTATGTGGAATATCTGAAAAGAAGTTAGTAACAGAGAAATTATCTCCAAGTTACTTTCTTTGTAATTGCTCTAATGAATAGAAAAAATAACTTATATTTATTGTAAAAAAATAAGTTTAGAAAATTCTGAGAGCACTCTAAAATTATCCACGTTACCTTTCTACAAACATATTTGGTTCTTTCCAAGTCTTTTTGGTATACCTACCTATAAAAATGTATTTTTAAAAAGGTCTGAATGGATATATATATATATATATATATATATATATATATATATATATATGCATTTTTTTTTGAAACCAGGTTTGTCCTGGAACTCACTCTATAGACCAGGCTGGCCTAGAACTCAGAGATCCCCCTGCCTCTGCCTCCCAAGTGTTGGGATTAAAGGTGTGCACCACCACCACCCTGCGGGACCAATTTTTTTTTTTTTAAATATTGTTTTTGTTTCAATTATTTGAGACAGAGTTTTACTGTGTAGCTCAGGTTGGGCTCAAACTTGTGAACCTCCAGCCTAAGCCCCGTTTGCTGGGACATAGGCATGTATACCTGGTTTTTGTCCTTGACAGTTCTTATGCCCCGCCTTTTGACTGCCCTTGGACACTTCCCTGTCTCCTCAGCTGTTCTTGAATAATCTTGGTGGTTCTAGAACAATCCAGTCAATGATAAACTAGACTGGAGCCAGGGGTGAGCCAGGGTTTATTTTGAGAACAAAGGGAGGCGTGAGGATGGCTGCAGGAGTGTAAGCCTATTAAGAAGCTGGAGCAGGAGTCTGAGGGCGACTTGGGCTACACAGGAGACGATCTCAAAAACCCAAAAGAAACAGAGATTGATATGAGAGGATGCTGCTGCATCATTTCCTTCCTCCTTCCCCCTCAACCTCACCTTCTTCCCCCAACCCCGTGTGTGTGTGTGTGTGTGTGTGTGTGTGTGTGTGTGTGTGTGTGCGCACATATGTATGTGGAGGTCAGAGGACCCCGGGTATTATTTCCCAGGTGCCATTGCCATCTGGCCTCCCCACTTTTAGACAGAATTTCTCACTGGTTTGGATCTTTGGATCTCACCAAGGAGCCTGGACTGACTGGCCAGTGAGCCCTGCTTATCCCTGCCTTCCCAGCGCTGGCATTACAAGCATACACCACCACGTTCACCTTTTCTTATGTGGGTTCTGGGGGTCAAACTAAGGTCCTCATGCTTGCAAGGTACCAACTGGGCTATTTTGTCAGGCTCGCTTCCACCCTTCAGGGCTCTCAGGGACATCTCTAGGAAGTTGTCTGTGAGGCCCCAGCTCAGGCTCCACCCAGTCCATAGTACCCCCCACAGCATCCCATTACAGCACTAACTATACTTTATTAAACAGATTTCTTCGGGCTGGTGAGATGGCTCAGATAATAAGGGGACTTGCTGCCAAACCTGACGACCTAAGTTTGATTCCTCAGAACGCCCCATCGGAAGGAGTGAAAGGAGCCTTTTCTGTCCCCTGCATGTTAAGCTTCACATCCTTTGCCCCGTACTTACCACCCATCAGCATCCCTCTTTTAAGGCTCCTATGGTCAGTCTGGGGTCTCAAGGACCCTCAGAGGTCTCTCACCCATGGCTTTTTTTTCTACAGCATCTTCTTATCTCTCCATACTCATTTCCTATGGGTAACAATTCCCTGGGAACAGCCTGGTTACTTGGACATCTGGTTTAATTAAAGAAAGAATGGGTTAGAACAAGCCACACAGGACCACAGCAAACCAGGAGTAACCATTATGACAGTTTTATTCAAGTCTCTGAGAGCCCTGGTGTTGGGACCAGGCCGAGATCAGCATTACACTGTAATACAGCGGGAGCTTGGCCACGGAACCAAGCCTGCTTGGCGTCCCTCATCACCAATGTACAGTACCTCGAAAGAAATGAAAAGAAAAAGCCAAAGGAAAGAACCTGAAAATAGACTTCCTTCAGGACACTTCCGTCTTTAAATATTTCTGACAACACACAATAATTTAGATTCCAAAGGAAGTGAGGGCTCAATTCGGGACACATGGAGAAGAGGGAGACACTGGCACAGGAAACTTGTAGTTAGGTACTGGAGGACAAGACAAACAGGACGTTCACTGTACTTCCTAGACTCACGGGCCCTAAGGGGAGAAAGCCCTAAGGAAGCTTTTGCAGAAAACCAGAGCCCAACCAATGCCTCTCCTGCAACCTGGAAGAGAGCCCCAGACTGCCGTCTGTGGATGGCGCTGTGGCTGCGGACAGATGAGAAGAGAGGGTCAGCGGGAGCAGAACATTAGCGTTCACCACCTCCCTGCTCTGCTGCTGCAGATGGGTACCAAGGCTCAAGGAGACAGAGGGGCAGCGGCGTCATCTCCCTAGAAGTCGGGAGCTGGAGTAGGCTTCCAAACTCAAAGAACTGGGGACCCAAGAAAGTGGGGCTACAACGAGGAACACCAGGGAAGCTAGAGCTGGAAACAGGAAAGAGAAATGGAGCCTTGGTAGGTGGTCCTGGGAGCGAGGGGAGCTACAGACATCCCAGTGAGCTCAGAATCCCTGCAGAGGGGAGACACATGAAGGAGAAAGAGCCTCCATCAGCAAATGGAGTTTGCTGAGCTCTGGGGGGGGG